ACTAAAACAGTAACAAAAGAAGACACACAGGATGAGAAGAGATAACATGTGGTCCATCACTATGAGAAACCAGTTGTAGAAATATTTTTAAAAATTCAAAAGTAGCAACAATAAGACACATTATTCTTAAAATAAATGTTCCCAAGAGCAAAAAGTCTTAAATACTTAAATAAGTAGCACTGAGGAGATTTTGAGTAGCTAAGAGGAGCAGGGATATTCCAGATAGGTTTCATAAGACTACCCCTTAGATAAGTGATATCATCTATCAATTATATTAAAAGTGAAACATGGAGAATATCCCAGGATTATTCAACAACAGGCTTTTGCCTGCACCAAGCTATCACAGATAAAAAGTCTAATAAAGCAAAATATTTAACAGACGTATGTGTACCAATATGAAAAATTAAAACTATAAACCTTTTGAAAACTGCTCAGTGCTGCTTTGGGATCATCTTCCTTCAAGGCTTTGGAGTTATAATACTGATTTTCCAAATCTACATTTGGTTCAGAGTTGCTGTCTTCAGAATATTCCTGTATTTTACAAAGGGTAAAAAAATATATACATGTCAGCGGAGAACATTAAATTTTAATCAATTAACTGATAAGTGCCAGAGAAAAGTATGCATATGGGGTAGACATGAAATGGGAAATTGGGGGGGGGGGAATGAATTGTAGTGACTAAGCATAAGCAAATAGCTAGCAGTGGTTACTGAAGTTGCTACACATCCTTAGCTGCTTTAACAGCTTGAAAAGGGATGCTTTTTGTAATTTGTCTTATGGAATAAAACATAAGTCAAACAATCTGTGCAGCTAAAAGCATCTCTCATAAACACATCAAAACTGGTTTTGTTTTTTTCAAGGTAAAATTCATCAGCCCAATCATGACTCTTTCCTGGATTAGGTTAAAGGTAGGAGGAATGGGGTAATTCCTAACTAGGTTTCAGAAAGATTTCTGCTATGAAAGAAAGTAGCCTGAATAACAGCTTGCTGGATCAGATGAAAGCCCAATAGTCTATTGTCATCTGGAGTCAACTAATTCTTCCACCAAGCTATCTCCTATATACTTTCAATGTGATTTTCAAGGACAACTTTCTTTTGGCTAAGGAGATTCTGGTTGTGTTTATTGTATAGGACAAGCTAAACCAGTGATTCACTGAATTTGTCATAAATGATGGGATTCATACAACCTAGTAGACCATGTTTTACAAATGATCTAAACCTGGAGAAGGTTTACTCTCCAAGACCTTAAACAAGAGTGTCTCCTAGCTACAATCTCTTTGGTTTTTAAATGAAGATGCTAGGAGCTGAATTTAAAAGCGGACAACATGCAAGCTACTTCAAGAAATAGTCGCACCAAGCCTTTTGAAAAAACATGCGGAGAGTACTATGTAATCAGGGTTTTCAAAAGTTAACAAGTACTCTCACAAACCTACAAACAAGAATTTGTAGGTTTGAAACAAGAGCCAGCCAACTTGTTTTCCCTTTCATTAATTACTGCAGTGGTCTGCAGACCCCTGAGGACCCACAATGTCGCCACAGAGGGTCCTTGAAGGGTTGAAGAAATGTTATGATTTAAATCTTGAGGTAAGTTTTGGGGGTCCGTGGCCATGATATTTAAAGGGAGTCCGTGGTGAATAAAAGGTTGAGAACCACCGAATTACTGGAAAGAGCCATGTATTTGGTTTTATTTATTTATTTGGAAAATTTATATTGTTGATCTATTTGCTCACAGCCATTCAAGGCGGCTCATAGGAAATAAAAATGTGTATATGGGTATAATAAAATAACCACTAAACATCAGAAAGTCACAAAAAAACACCACAAAACCCATACATCCACCTAGATAAGCTGTTGCTCAAAAAACAACAACCAGAATTACAACTTTTCCTACAGCACAAAATGACTAGATACATATTTGTTCAGCAGATTAGTCACTCGTTTTCAGAGGTGGCTCCTACTAACACCTGTCAAATTACATCAAAATAGAGGAAAAAAATACCATGCAGGAAGAAAAAGTCCCTATAAAGCATGCCATTGCCAACCCTCCTAAAAAAAAAACCTAATACACACATAAAAAGAATAACAATCAATTAGTTAATGAAGTTTGACTCAAGACGCTCATGAAATTTTAAATGATGGGCTATCCAGTCGTCTTCCGCTCCCAGGACCACAAAGATACCTAAAATCACACACAGAGACCTCCAAGGTCCCTCCCAGCTCTATTCTGTTCTAAAGTAGTCCTTGACTTACGACCACAACAGAGCCCAAAATTTCTGTGGCAAAGTGAGAAACGTGTCAAGCCAGCCTTGCCCCATTTTACAACGTTTCTTGCCACCGTTGCTAAGTGAATCCCTGCAGTTGTTAAGTTAGTCACCCGGTTGTTAAGTGAACCCGGCTTCCCCCATGGACTCTGCTTGTCAGAAGGTGGCCAAAGGGGGAACCACGTGATGCCGGGAACACATTGCAACCGTCGTAAACACGAGTCTGTTGCCAAACATCCAAATGTCGGTCACGTGATCCCGGGGGGACGCTGCAACAGTCGTTAGGTGCGCAAAACGGTCCCAAGTCGCTTCTCTCAGTGCCGTGATCACTCCCAAAGGTCACTAAACGAACGGTTGTAAGTCGAGGACTACCTGAACTGAAAACTCGGTCGGGTTTCAGGACGCCCCTTCCCCAAGCTGACGCGGCCGCCCCCAACCACACCACTCGCGCCCCTCCGGATCGACCCACCACCCAGCCCGGCCAGGAGGGGGCGGCTTGAGGGGGCGCCACCCCTCCCGGCCGCGTCTCTGTGGGGAAAGCAGCCCAACTCCCCCGCCCCCCACGGAGGGGAGCCCAGCCGGCGCCCATCCCGAGGGGCCTAGCGCGGGCCTGGGGCCGAGGAAGAGCCGGCGGGCCTGGCTCGCGCCCCTCCGCCCGGCGGCGCCCGGCCTGCCGCGCTCCCACCCCGGGACGACCGAGCGGCGAAGGGGCCGGCGTCGACCCCCGGGGCCGGGGGAGCCAAGGAGGAGGGGAGAAGGGGGTCCCCGGCGCGGGGGGGTCCCGCGAGCGCCCGGCCGGCCCGCCCCCCTCACCAGGTCGTAGTCCTCCTCATCGTCGCACATGAAATCATCCTCCATGTCAGACATCTTGGCCGGAGGACGCGCCGAGGGGAGGGGGGAGGAGGGGCGGGGCGGGGCGCGGAGGGCGGGCGGGCCCAACAGCCGGGCGGACGGCCCTCTCCTCCCACAATGCCCCGCGGCGGGCGGTTCCCCCTCTTTCAACGTGACCGACGCCAGGCGCGGAAAGGCGTTGCACGCAAAAGCGTCCGTCGCGCCGCGCGCTTGGCCGTTCCGGGCGCGCACGGAGCCTCTTTCGGGGTGCACCGGGCCTGTGTTTTTTTTTTTTTTTGCTATTTTTTGGGGGAACTGGGCGCCTAGCAACGGCTCCAGGGTTGCAAAAAGCGCAGCTCGGGTGATTTAGATGAGGCTTCGGGCCTTTTCCCCCCCTGCCCGATGCATTGGGGAGATCCCGGGTGCCAAACTGCCGGGTGATATTAAGAGGGAGCCTTGCGCTCTCCCTGCGGCGCCTGTGCGGCTTTTTAGCAGCCGGAGAGGAGCCCGTGGCGAACCCCCGAAGGGCAGACGCAGACTCGGTCAAGTTTAGAGGAGAATATTTGTAGCTCAGGGTTGAAATGAGGAGTTCTTTTCTTGCAGACGTTTCGTGACCCAACTAGCTAACGTCATCAGTGCCCCTTACATCATGAGTCAGCTGTCCCTAAATCATCAGCTGATCGAGGAAAGAGGAGAAAGGAACTTTCTAATATGAGGAGCTGCCACCCTTTTCAATTAAAACAACAGACACAACTATGGGGCCGCTCAAATACAAGTGTAACCCTAGACCGGCATTTCTCAACCTCCACAACTGGAAGTTATGTGGATTTCAATTTCCCCAGCCAAGTTAGGGAAGTATGCTTCAATGGCTACAGTACAGACCAGCGAAAGCCTATCAAATGCCTTTCCCCCGTTTTGCAGGTTGACTTGGCCTCACTTTGAATCTGGCCAGAGGTTATAAGCTGTCTATAGAGCTTGCACAATATATAAAGACAGCCAGTTGCGTGTCTTTCACACACTGCCAAGCCCTAATTTAGCACAATATGTACACACTTGGCATATAGATATGAGTATAATACAGTAATGAATCCCTGTACTCCATAGATGGAACATAGAAGCCTCGGGCTGGGAGAGATCCCTGAGATCTTCTATTCCAACTCTCATTCAATTGTACCATCTTGGTCAAATGGCTGTCCAAGCCGTTTTTGAAAACTAGATCAGTGTTTTTCAAACCTGGCAACTTCCAAATGGGTGGACTTCCAACTCCCAGGATTTCACAGCCACTGTGCCAAGTTTGCAAAACACTGGACTAAGTGTTACCTCCAAGCTGCTTTCCAACTTTTACAGAAGTCTGATACCGTACCCCTTTTTCTGATTTAACACATTTGATTAAAAAAGCATCGCCTTTCTTGAGCTACAGACACCTCCCTTTAACGGATGCTGTAATCCTCCACTTTTCGTTGGGAAAGTTTACGCCTTTAACAAAACGTGCAAGTTGAAAAAGCGGCTGCAAGACTGAAACAGCCCAAACTCTCCAATTTTCTCCATGGGCGATGGGGAGGGACACTCTTTTTATTTCAGAAAATGGGATATTTGCAAGTTACAGAAGTCTTCCCGGGAATAGGTTAACTCTCCTTGATGGAGAGACGCGGCCCTTCGCTTCTTCCTGTATCTTTCGTGTGAATGTCGCCAGTTCCGCATCTGCAGCGGAGGAAGGGCAGTGCCGGTGGTTCGCAGCAGCTTCGCCCTCTTTGCCAACCCCGGCGCCTCTGGGCGGGGAATACGAGGAGGAAACAGCTGCAGCGAGCGGAGCTGGAAGCCAACGTGTCCCGGGGTTTGGTCGGTTGCAGAAGGAACAAAACCCCGCAGCAGAGACCTTGCCCCGCGCGTGCAGTAATCGTGGTGGGGGGAAAAAAGAATGGCTGCCGAGGCGCCCCCCGTCCTTTCGCTCCAGCTGGTGGAAGAACCGAGGTGCGTGGTCGGACTCTCGCCCCCTTCCGCCTCTGAGCGCCAGCGGTCAGGGTAGAGGGCTAAGCCAAGGACCTTCTTCCTTGAAGCGCTTTGCAACGAGTCTTGGGCGTGATTTTCCGGGGAGAGTAGCCGGTGCTCCGAGGTTGCTTGCTCCCAAATCGAGGTGCATGAGATTGGAGGATTTGTAATCTCCCAGAAGATTACCGGGGCAGTTCCGGATGCTTTACTCACGTTTGCTTCCTATTAGTTTTTCAAGGAACCGAAGAAAAAAGGCATTCATTCATTCATCCATTCAATTTCTATAGCCGCCCATCTCAGTCAATGATTCTGGCCGACTTGCAGTTCAAAAAATATGTTACACTTAAAATACTAAAAAAAAAAAACATTTTAAAACACAAAAACAATAGAAACGTGCAAAATAAGATACTTGGTCATTTAGCAACAGGATCCTTAACAATTCAGCATTCCCAGGCTCTGGAATATTTCCGCCCATCCACTGCAAATTGGATCTTATAACCATGTAAGATGAATAAAGATCACGAGGTAGTGATGTGTTGTTAACTTTCCCCAGCCTGATATCCGATGGGTTGGATTATAACTCTCATAAACCACTGAAATGGCCACAGGTGCCACATTGGGTAAAGATAGGGTTAAGGTTTTAGATTAAAATTGGTGGTCCAAGTTCAACCCTACTCAACCAGGGATGTTCACTTGGTGATCTGGAGCCAAAGAGTATCTCGACTTAGGCCAGCGTACTTTACATGGTAATTGTGGAATAAAACATAAACTGACCAAGGAAGTTGAAGAGACTGGACAGCCATTTGTCTGAAATGGTATAGGGTTTCCTGCCTGAGCAGGGGGTTGGAGTAGATGACCTCCAAGGTCCCTTCCAACTTTATTATTATTATTGTTGTTGTTGTTATTATTATGCACAAAGTTTTATTAAGCAGCCACATTTAGCATGATTGAATAGTAACATGAAGGTATCTGATAACAAACATATAAGTCTGTCCCATTATCTGGAATATCTCCTGGTGGGGTTGGATTTGGGCTCAACTGCATGCAGAGTTTCTGTTCTGCCAAACTGCTGTGGTTCACTCAACAGTAAGCCACGATATTTTTAAGTAACCAGCAATAGGCTAGGATCATATAGGACAAAACTACATAACCCTTAATAGGCTTGTGTCCTACGTAAAGATTATTTACTATTACTTTCAATAACCCTACTGGGCTTAGTGGAATGAAGTATATGACCTACGAATATTAAAACTGCATTAGCCTGCAAACCTAGAGCCTGCTCATGTCAAATTGGTTGAAGACTTTGAAATATATCCCTTCACATTTGTATTTGTGACACATTTGTACTGCTGCTCCTTTCCAGACTGCTGAAGCTGAAAAAGATGTTCATATCTAAATTTAAAACAACACCCACATTTTATGTTCGAGCACCAGGGCGAGTCAACTTAATAGGTAAAGTATTTTTTTTTTAAAAAAAAATGCATTATTTTGTTAACATTTGAGCAGTGGAATTAGGTGGCAGCCAGAATTTTTCACTTTAAACAGCCTATATTTATTTGTTAGGCAGTAGGGTGTGGCACTAAGGTGTCTGCAGGACTGCCACGTCCTGTTTGAATTAACCTGTTCAGTACATTCTTCCCAGGAGAAGTTTTTGGATATATTATACCCCATTTGTATGAAGTGAGGGGAAGAAAGCCAAGAAATATTATTTTTCTGACAGCTCCAGTGCTATGGAGCAGTTTCCTCTTAGAATTAAGACTTGTGATATCACTTAACATCCCAGAAACAATTCAAGGCAGAACTCTTCAATAGAGCGCTGTTGTCGCCTGTGCTATTGTTGATATATTACTCTTATGTTTATTTTTATTACAAATTGATTAGGTTTGCTCTGATTATTTTTGACCTTTCTGTCAATGCTTTTGCCATGGTCATTTTAATTTTATGTAGTATATTGCGCATTCTATCAAGTTGCTTCAGCCTAGTGAAGGCCAGTCCTATAAACCGAGATGTAACCTCTATGTCCTAGAACAGGGGTAGGCAATCTTGGCTCTTTTATGACTCGTGGACTTCAACTCCCAGAATTCCTGAGCAGCTTGGCTGGCTCAAGAATTCTGGGAGTTGAAGTCCACGAGTCATAAAAGAGCCAAGGTTGCCTACCCCTGTCCTAAAATCTTCAGCATAAACCATCCCATGCAAAATGCAATAAAATTAAAAAGGAGGTATTTGGGTGCTATGTGAGATCATTTAATTTTCTGGGTTTTTTTTTTATAGGTGAACATATAGATTACTGCGGCTATGCTGTACTCCCGATGGCCATAGACCAAGACATACTTATAGCAGCTGAACCTCTAAACAGCCCAGTCCTCAATTTAGCTAATACAGAGCCCTCATACTCGTAAGTGCCATTTTTTTTTACTGGTTATTGTTGTTGTTATAGGTGTTTCACAGCAACTAAACAATGGCACTGTCTTCACCTGTAGACATGCAATTTAAAAAAAGTGAAAACTGAGCAGAATTCATAGCAGAATCCATTATGTGCTGCTCAGAATTAAACCTTTCAACGTTTGTGCTATCAACCAACGTCTTGCACCTGGAAGTATGAATATGTGTTATCCTCCAGCTCTGTCAAAACTCTACAGCCAACATGGCAGGTGTAGTCTAATACAGGTAATCCTTGACTTACAAAAGTTCGTTTGGTGACCGTTCAACGTTACAACGGCATTTTAAAAAAATGACATTTTTCACACGACCGTTGCAGCATCCCCATGGTCACGTGATCAACATTCAGCTAGCAAATGACTCATATTTATGACGGTTGCAGCGTCCTGGGATCATGTGATCCCCTTTTGCAACCTTCTGACAAGCAAAGTCAATGGGGAAGCCGGATTCACTTAACAACTGTGTTACTAACTTAACGACTGCAGCGATCCACTTAAGAACGGTGGCATGAAAGGTGGTCAAATGGGGAAAATTCACTTAAGACTTGTCTGACAGATCAGTGTTCTAGTCCCACCTGAGGCCCCAAACCAGATGCCAGATCCTGGACATGTCTCTATATCTCACCTTTACGAACCACTTCTAAAAACCTTGCTGAGAAAACTGCACGGACGAGTCTAGGCAGAGTCACCAATAGTCAACAATGTTTTGAAGACACACATGGGTGGGGGAGGCAGAAAGATTGCAACTCTTACGTTTGTTTTCCTTGCAAACAATTGTCCGTTTCTTCCCCTTGCCTGTATCGATTTCTCCCAACTCCACACAACTTCACTTGGCAACTTTGTAAAAATGGACGTCCGAACGAAATGGGCCAACCTTAGAAGCCAGCTTCGCTTTTGGTCCAGTGGTCTGCGAGCTTAAATCGTAACGATCTGTTCCAGAGGGAACAGTGATACCCATGTAATTATCCACGTCTTGTTTAATGTTCGGTTTTTTTGAGCTTGGAAAGGAGAAAAATCCGCCGAGGAAACAAGATCTGTGTTTATTTGTGGGGAGGCAACAAAGGGAAACGGCAGACTGGAAAGTTAGTTTCTGCAGTAAAAAAAAATAACTCTTGAAACAGTGCTCTGCAATCAAGGGTGACGTCGCTTTTATGTTTTATCTTTCTTCATAGACTTTTTCAGAAAGGAAGAAGTGGAATACAGGTAGTCCTCAACTTCTAACAGTTCATTTAGTGAGGATTCGAAGTTACAATGTGAAAAAAGCGACTTACGACCGTTTTTCACACTTGTGACTGTTGCAGCACCTCCGTGGTCATGTGATTTACATTCAGACGCTTGACAACTGACTCACATTTATGACGGTCGCGGCGTCCTGGGGTCACGTGATCCCCTTTTGCAACCTTCTGGCAAGCAAAGTCAGTGGGGGAAGCCAAATTCACTTAACCATGTTACTAACTTAATTAACTGCAGTAGTTCACTTAACAACCTTGGCAAGAATGGGCGTAAAATGGGGGGAAAATGACTTAACAACGGTCTTGTTTAGCAACGGAAATTTTAGGCTCAGTTGCGTTCGTAAGTCGAGGACCTACCTTTAATGCCTTGCTGATACCTGGAATTCATACATTGTGCTAAGTTGTGGGGTATGTTTGAATAAAGCACAGCCAATCCCACAAACCATGGCTGACAAGTCATAACGGCTTCTTTCCCACCACATTTTAAGGCCAAACCAAAACAAACATTCTTGGCTTAGTGTAAATGTTGTGGATCCTCTTCTGAATGCTGCGCAGTGCTGAGTGGTCTTCTAGCAGCTGCCTGGTGTGGTATATCTTCAAATCTCATCATCCGTATTTTATAGTAGAAAGGCACCCTAGGACAATTAAAATGAAAACTAGCTCTTTTTGGCTTTTCCTCTGGTGATAAGAAGAAGGGAACGAACAGGAAGGGAGAACATGGGCTGGTAGATCTGACATTGGTTTCCAAACTTTCCTGGTTAATCACTTGTATGGGTAGGAAAGAGATTACCCAATGCTTGTTCCAAATTCAAATCCCAAGTGTTTAGATGGGAGTGTTCAGCTGGGATGTTCATCCCATTTACACTCGTGTTGCAATAGTTAATTCGCATTAACTGAGCTGAACCCTAGCTGGAAATGCATCCTTCCTTGACCCAGAGCTTACCATCCTTTTTGAGAGCCTCACTGGCCTGGGAAGCACCGGAGAAATGGACTAAGGAACCAGTTCACCAAGTTGATTGTGAGAGCCCACAAACTTATAGGACGTCAAATTAAAAAGCCAAGCCAAGCCAATGAAAAAGAACTCCACAGCCATCTGTCAGCCAAAAATCTGTCCTCAACGTGAATTCAGTTTATAATTTTTTTTAATACCATTTTTACAATTTTTACCTCCTGATCGTGGAAGATTGTCCTTTACATAAAGAGAGATAATAATCTTTCTGGGAGTTTATTTTTTTTAAAACTAGATTACATTTTAGGTTCGCCATCAGCTGCGCTGGTTTTACCTACTGTGCTGTTTTCAAAGTGGAATGGGGGAATCAGTTTCGGGAGACTTGTGGGTATAAGTAAACTTCTGGTGCCAGAGCAAAGCATAAGGCACCTGATTTATGCCTTAAGGCAGAGATCCCCAACCTTTTGGGCACCAGGGACCAGTTCCGTGGAGAGAGGTTTTTCCACGGAACGGAAAGTGCGTGGTTTTGTGTGCTGCCTGCATCCCGTAGATGGGGCTTTTCTTGTTTGTGCAGACCAGTTGCTGGCATGTCGTGGCCCAGTACGGTCCCTGCCTTAAGGCACCTGATTTAAAGCCAAATAGAAAAATAAAAGGGTCCAACATTTTTGGACCTACTGTTCTAGGAGGGTTCTGGGAACCATCAAGAAGATACCCCAGTTTGCCCTCATTTAAATTTCTATCAGGGAAAAAAAGAGGCTTAATATCTCAATATTTAGTTAGGAATATACATATACTGGTAATCCCCAGCTTACAACCGTTCATGTAGTGACCATTTGAAGTTATAGCAGCACTGAAAAAAGTGACTTATGACCTTTTTTTTCATGACCCGTTGCAGCATCCCCATAATCACGTGATCCAAGTTCAGACATTTGGCCACTGACTCATATTTACGACGGCTGCAGTGTCCCGGGGTCGTGTGATCCCCTTTTTCCATCCTTCTGACAAGCAAAGTCAATGGGGAAGCCAGATTCACTTAATAGCCGTGTTACTGACTTAACAACTGCAGTGATTCACTTAACAGAGGGATAGAATCAAGATCACGTGAAGTATTAATACCATTTTACAAGGCCTTGGTAAGGCCACACTTGGAATACACATCCAGTTTTGGTCACCACGATGTAAAAAAGATGTTGAGACTCTAGAAAGAGTACAGAGAAGAGCAACAAAGATGATTAGAGGACTGGAGGCTAAAGCATATAAGGAACGGCTGCTGGAATTGGGTATGTCTAGTTTAATGAAGAGAAGGACGAGGGGGGACAGGATAGCAGTGTTCCAGTATCTCAGGGGCTGCCCCAAAGAAGAGGGAGTCAAGCTGTTCTCCAAAGCCCCTGAAGGCAGGACAAGAAGCAACGGATGGAAACTGATCAAGGAGAGAAGCAACCTAGAACTAAGGAGAAACTTCCTGACATTTAGAACAATCAACCAGTGGAACAACCTGCCTCCAGAAGTGGTGAATGCTCCAACACTGGAAGTTTTTAAGAAGAGACTGGACAGCCATTTGTCCGAAATGGTGTAGGGTTTCCTGCCTGAGCAGGGGGTTGGACTCGATGACCTTCCAACTTTATTATTATTATTATTATTATTATTATTATTATTATTATTATTATTATTATTATTATTA